AAATTACCATAAAGGTATTTAACAAATAATTTTTTATTAACCATGAATTTCTTTACTCAAAATAGAAAAAATTAACTTTGTTCGGGTGGAATTGAATCCGACTTAGAGCATGTTTGGCCTGATTTTTTTTTAGCTCTTATAAAAAATAATAGTTTTTAAAATTAAGTTAAAGTTGTTTGATAAATTTCATTTTTATAAGCTCTTTTTTATAGATAAGCTGTTTGGTAAAATAATTTATATAAACTCTAATTTAGGTTAAAATTACCATAAAGGTATTTAACAAATAATTTTCTATTAATCATGAATTTCTTTACTCAAAATAGAAAAAATTAACTTTATTTTTTATCAATTTAAAATAAATTTTTAAAAGTATAAAAGCATTTTTATATAACATAAAGTTTATAATTAATAATAAATCATAAAAAAAGAGTTTCACAAATAATTTCTAGTTAACACATAATTTATAAATAATTTATAAATTAATGATTTTTATTTTCCATCAATGCCGTAGCTATTTGGTTACGAACTCTACCCATATGACTATCATCCAATGCTTTGAACCCATTTTCTCATCATAAAATAGTTTAAGAAGAAAATTTATTCTATACACAATTAGTTGAAAATAATAGATATTGTCATTTATTTCATAATTTTAATTGAAATTTTAAGTCTAAATTATATAGTACAAAGTTTTATAATTGTTAAATTTTCTTGTAAAATCAAAATATGGATTTATATTATTTATTTTTGTATCTTTATCAAAATTAGGTTAAGTTAATTTGGTTTTGATAAAAAGATAATATTTTAATCAAAAATATGATCTCTTATAGTGAGTTAGACTTTAATTCTATTTGAGAAAACAATTGGTTTATCAAAAACACAAAAGAAAAAGTACTATTATCATACCTATTTGACATGAACAAATTATTAACATGAACAAACCTATTTGATTTATTTCAATCATAATCAATAAATATTACATATATAAAAAAAATTAAGAATAAATAAATATCACATAATTGATATATCAAACAATAAATTGAGAAATATCAAATAATAAAGAGAGTTTCAAAACTCAAAAAAATAAAGAATGATAAAAAATAAAATAAAAAACAAAACTAAAAATGAAAAAAATAATACCTTAATTAAGTTCTGATTTTTTTGTTTTTGTTCTTTTTAATTTTTGTAAAAATAAAAAACCCTTGATTTGCAGAAAAAGAGAGAGGAGTGGGAGATTGATAGGAAGAAAGGGAAGAGTATTTTTAGGAGAGAGAAGGTTTTTTTGAGAAAAAATAACTTTTTTAATAAGCTGGCGTGTTTTTTAAAACAAGAAAAGAAAAAGCTCTTAATTGAAGTTTTTTTTAAAGTTCTTTTTTTCAGATTTTATTTTTTAAAAAAAATTATTTTTTTAAGAACTTTTTACGAAATTTTATTTGACTCAATTTTTATTTTTAAACAATAAATAAATTAAATATAAATCAAACAAAACGGGTACTTAAGCTCAGTTTAAGCCCAATCCAAAAAGCAAGCTCAGCTTGCGAGGTATGCATGTCATGGAGCAGGAACACTGGGCTTTATCTTTTATAGGCCTAGAAAAGATCAGAATTGATAATCAGCCCAGGCTTGACAAGGCTTTTGTTTTTAATTAATTAATTAATTAATTTAAGAAGGGGTTGGTTCTATTACGTGGCTTTAGTGTATTGGTGAACCAGGAAAAACCGCATCTACAGTACCGTATTTCCAAAATACAACATTGGCCTTTTAAAAAAATGTAAATCTGGCGGCCTGCATATTCAATTCCTTCCCAGAAAAAAAAAAAAAAAAAACCTCGGAAGTGAAACAAAGGAAAAGATAGTAGAGAGTTGGAAGAGTTGCAGTAACCCAGTGAGTCAATAGATGATATAGGAATAGAAAAATGGCGGTGGAAACGAATTTCGCATCGTTGTTTGGGAAGCTTAAGGTAGAAGATCCATGGCTCCCTCCTCGAACCTGGGAATCCATTCCTTCTCAGAGCGGCCGGCCTCCTCTTCCCAGCTCTCAAGCTCCCATTTCCTCCTCATCATCTGTCTCAGTAAGCCTAATCATCTCTCTCTCTCTCTCTCTCTCTATATATATATATATATATATATATATAGTTATAGTTATATGTAAGAATTTTTAGGTGTAATTTGGCTTTATATGTTTCATACATTTTCGGTTACATCAACGATCAAGTGACTACATTGCATGGGCAAGCTTTGATGCTGATTTTTTTCTTCTTCTGGAGTTCTTGTAATTTTAGTGCCTTATATTTCCTACATTTCGTTTCTTTTCTTCATTTTTTTCTTTAGAAAAATTTATTAAGTACGAAATGTGTTTAGTTACTTAAGCTAAACTAATGTTATTAAGAAAATTAATTTAATTTTGTATGAAATAATGATTTGTGAATCAATTTTAATCACAATATGAGTTTTATTAGGAAGTGAAAAACCACTAGCAAAACTGCAAAAGGAATAACCAAATGCTTGTCGTTTTGGATTAAGATTCTACTTTGCTGATTGCTTTTATGATTTGAATAAGCAGTTACTTGGCAGGCTGGATCTCTAATTAAGCATGCTGCATCAAGTTGTTTTGGTTGAATAATTATTTGTAACTTGAGCACGCAGCATGTATATAAAGAAAAATGAAAAAAATTGGAAACTTAACTGAAATGAGCTCTGCTGCAATTTGTGGTAAGGGAATGTGCAGAACTATGATTTTTCCCTATAGAATGATTTTGTCTACTGTAATCAAACCGTTGTTTTTATCATCAATATAATTGTAGAAGATCCATTTTGAGTCACATGAAGAAAGTGCACTCTTTGAGACTCTAATGATATATTTTGTTGCATGGTGATTCTTCTTACAAATATGATCAACCATACAGATTACTTTTAAGCTGCACTAATGAATTTTGTTTCTTTAAAATAATCAAGATGGCATTTTTGTCACAGGAGGCAAGTTTGGTGAGGTTGGCTCTGAATGCACTGCAAGGTGTAGAATCATCTCTTATTAGTGTAGAAAAGCTTTCTGCTGCCTTTTGTTCTGATCCTGCTGATAGGACTTTTCACCAAACGCCTAGTCTTTGGAACCGGTCTTTGAGCACTCATGCTCTGGGGAAGATTCTCTTATCCATAGGCCGCTTGGGTTTCTTAGTTTTCCTTCTCCGTAAGTTTGTAGATTATTTCAAGAATTTGAATCTCAGTGGAAATTCATATTCGCTAGGAAAGAGCTGGGAAAATTCTCAAGCAGCAGACAATCAAAATCATGGTGGCTGTGAAGTGCAAGAGGAAGAGGGTCCTCGATACAGTCTTGTTAATCAGGCATTCTCTGTTGCTGTAGGAAAGGTTTTGGAAGGGTACATTTGTGCACTGGACACATTATATGCATCAGTAAATTTAAGGCGTTCAGCAAAGAGTGCTGAAATCTCTTCGTGTGTGTCTTCTGGCTGTCTTACAAGTGTGGTTTACTCTGAAATTACACTATTGGAGGTATACCTGCACACAAAGGAATTGAGGACCAAGATTGAAGCTCTTGGGAATATTTGCAACCTGCATAATCTATCTCTTTGCTTCTCAGAATCTTCTTTTGCAGAATTAATTTATAAAGCAACTATGGAATTTCATAACTTCTACAGAGGAGGTGATCTGCTTAGTTACTTGTACACACAGCTAAAGGTTAGTTTAATTGAATGTTGTGTTGTCGTTGCTTTTACTTAGAAATTTCTTTTCTGTCAATTTTACTCTTTATACCAATCAAGCTTCATAGTATGATGTTCTTTACCATGGTTGTTCACTGTCCAGTGTTAATTTCCAAACTCTTTTATAAGCTAAAACTGATAGTCAATAAACATTTTTTTTGTTGCCATCAGAAAGGGCACATATTGTGGTGGGGTACCTCTAGAGTCTAGAACCACTATATATGGGGCTTTATTGATTGAACGATCAGAAGTTACAAGTTCTTGGTTGCTTAAAGTTTTTGAACATTCCTTTTTTTGTTTGAAAGATAGAAGCTTATTAAGAACCAAAAACATCTTATTTCTGAGAAATACTTTTTCAACCTTGTGGTTCTGCTAATTAATCCTTTTTTAGCCAATTCTTCTTGTAGGTTGCGGATCCTGCTCACTGTTCTTTACTGAAGTTTCTCTTTCTTCAGTCATGTGAACCATACTGTGAATTTATAAGGTCATGGATATTTAAAGCTGAGATTAATGATCCATATAAGGAGTTTGTAGTAGAATATATTGACACGTTACAACATTATTCCTTTGGTAAAGCTGGCATCTCAATTGACTTTCTGGTGGCAAGTGTCAAGGTAATCAGTTATGACATGGGTTTAATTCATTATGTATAGATATTTCATATTTTGATCGTGTCTCTGTCAATTCTAATCGTCTTAGTTGAGACTATTTGTGTCAGGAGCGGGATGGAGCTGCTGTTCCATGTTTTCTGAAGGATGTTTTGATTCCACTTGTCAGGGCTGGTCAGCAGCTTCAAGTTCTAATGAAATTGCTTGAAATTCGTAAATATGTTGACCGTGGAGACCATACTCATTCAGATTTTCTTCCTTGCTGGAGTGGTTTTGCGGGCAGCAATCCATTTTATGCATCTTCAATCACTTTCGGCAAAGAAAATATAGAAACCTTGGTTCTCATGAGGAATAATTACTATGAGAGCATGCAGGAGAAACTTGAAAGCTTTCTGACAGGATTGGAATTCAGTTATCAGCAGGTATCATGGTTTTCTTGTAGGTATCTGTATGATGTTGCTCTCTTCCTCTGTGCTGTGTGAAGTAGGTGATAATAAAATATGCAACTATAACTTGTGTTTATTTTGTTTCCTCTCCTGTTTATTTATTTATGATTATTTGCAGTGTACGATGGTTCAACAACCTATATAGCTAGTTGTAACAATTAATGTTATGCTGCAGGCTGTCTAGGCCATTCATGGTTCTAGCTCTCATAAAATTTATAGCCCTTTGGTCTTAACTAATCGAGGAGGATTAGTGCTTTATTCATTTTTTATTTAGTGAAATGCTGAAATCTAATTTATGACTTGTATCTCATTATACCATTAAATGTTCAATCTTGATAATTTTTATTTCAGGTTGGCTTCTAACCATGAATATCCTGCCTGTTCTAAAAAATTTTCTTGTGAGTAAAACTTTTATTAACTGAAACATAGCTACTTCTATTAGCTTCTTGACAATAAGCTTTCTAGAGATCAACTCTTTTGACGAGTAAATGTGAACTGATTGATCTTTACCTAAAATAATTGTTACCAAAATAACCAGGGCAATTCTTGCAACCAAAAGATCTATTTGTAACTAATACTCCGTTAGTTCATACATCAGATTTCTGGGCGGTAACAGGGTACACTACGCAGCGCATCCAATAGCTGAATGGGTGAAGGAAATTAAATGTGGCAAGGTGGATGTGCTTTGTTAATGTAACCTATCTAGTGCCAAGTCTTTATCAAACGTCAACCATAAAACCAATTGGAAATACAAAAAATAGTAAATATCATACAGTACCTGCTCATTTGATAACTTCTTAGGCAGTAATCTGAAAGAGCTAGAATTCTAACCTTGTGTCAGGACCAGTATTTACTAATAATTAGTTAGGGTATTTAGTGATCATACAAAAGAAGGATATTTTAAAGCATCATAGAATCCATTTATTGGGAAAAAGATTAGGTTTTTTTTTTTGGCCATTGTACCAAGTAAACTTTTAGTTACCCCTGTTAGATGTTCTGTATGCTAAGAACTTAAACTGATTCTGCTATTTCAGCATAGAGCTGTGTAAATTTCTTCTGTTCTTCTGACTCCCATTCCAGACCTAGGAGTAAACCATTTCTGGAATTGATGGAGTAGATAGGGTAAATAATGTGAATATTCCTTTATTCTTGGAAACTTTTCTTTTTCACCCTTTTACCTTGACTCTCAAGGATAAGAGTTCAAGTTGTAAAATGGTGAAGGTGTTATTCATTGCCAATGGGCAACTGTTATGCTTTTAATGCTGTTTTACCCAGTTCTTTCCTGTGCCTTACACAAATGTTCATTTTCTAGGGCATTCTGCATTGTGCTGAACCTATTTTCTTTGGTAATGGTGGAGGCAGCCTAAGTACTGCAGCTTCACTCACAGTGGATGACAGATTGGTTATTACTTCAACTCAACAGAGTTGCCCAAATGTGTAATCTCTCTCGCTTTCTCTGTGCATGTGTATAAATGTCTATTTTTTTTTTTGTTTCCGATGTCCGGGTTAAATTGTAGAAAGGCATTTTTTCCCATCCCTAAAACTCTTTCCTGAACACTTGATAAGACTGGTAATGTAATACAGCAAGTAGGCTAAGGGTTTGATAACACCACCTAAAATTTATCATTATGAAGGAACAAATTTTCTATTCCCAAGGGTTGATAAAGGTGATAGAGCATTTAATTTTTAATTGTGTGAAAAATTTTTCAATTGCCTAAAAGAAATATTGATTATTTTGGAGTGAAAAGATTTAATTTTTACAGTGATTGAGTGGTTCAAATTTAGAGGTTTCCTATCTTGAAGTTTGGGAATTTAGTGTTTGGAACCTAATATTTGGAGGTTATTCGGAGGTAAAAGGTAGAAAAAAAACAAGAAAAGTTAGTACCCAAAATTGGGTTCAGGCATCTAGCCATGACCATGACCAAGGAAAACTTGGTTGCAGAAGTTATTTCATCCTGGTATTGCAGGTATTTAAATGGTGCCCATGTTGTCTCCCTGATTTGAGGTCTTGCAATGGGCTTATTTGTTTGGTGCCCATATTCTAGGACCAGTTGCAGGTTTCAATTGCATTTGAAACCATAAATTTTAGAAGAAAAGATGAAAAACCTTGTTCCACTGAGGGATAGTGCTCCTTGGTGCGACCTTAAAAGAGCAGAATTAGAACTGGAAAGATTTCACTAATCTCTTTCCTATGAAGGCCTGACATCCAACTTGGGAAAGCTGGCAAAGTTGATTTCAAACATCTCCAAGATTGAAACATAGGCTCGATAGCATGAACCCAATATAAGACTAATATACTACTGCCTATCTTATATCCAGAAAATCTGATTTAAATAAAATTTTCTACTGCACATTACCACAAGAAAAATAAGTAATCTTCTCCACCTGATAAAGCATCAACATAAATGGATCAGTGATTCTGTTATTCCATGATATTTTCCTTTTATTTTGGTCACTTAAATTTTTTTGTAAATTAAAGGATTTGATGGTCAAATCCTTGTTAAAACTATTGAAGGACTATGCTGGCAAGCTAGATATGACTTGAATAACATCAGGAAAGTATGCAATATATTCAGGCATGTCAAGATTAGGGGAGCCTGACATTAATTCCAGTCATTGTTCACTATGATTGTTTTATACTCTGTCACATGTTTCAGCTTCAAATCTTTTTTCATTGTCATCATTTTACTTCATATGCTTTTCCGGTTTGACCTGGATTTCTTTTGATTTTCAGGTCTCTTGATGATAATGATTTAGATGACTCTAGTACAAAAGATGGGTCCTCTCATGTAGCTGACATCTTTGAGTTATCTGAGTGTTCATCAATGAGTAGTTTTGAAGGACAAACTGAGTCCGAGCAGTTGATTGAACAATCTAATCATTCAGTTTGGCCTAAACAAAATTATTTCTCTGCACTAAGCTTTTCTGTCAGTCACCCAATTGATAGCTCATTGCAACAAGCTTTTCAGAATGAAAATTCTTACCACGTGGAAAGTAGTTCACAGGAATTTTCTGAAAGAACAGGTCACCATGCCAATTTTATAGATTCTGAATCCAATGGGACAATGTGTGACAACATATGTTTGCACCTTGAGTCAAACTGGTTGTGTGCAGAAGCTGAATGCGCAAATATTCTACCTTACAAGGTCTGGCCAGTTGACAGTGTAAGGAGTAATGCTTTTTATATTGATGGAGGCTGCAGGGAGGATAAAAGGTTACATCTGTCTGATTCTGGCATAAAGATGAGACAAGGTAATATGCAATATTTCGATAACGTTGTGCAACATTTGGGTGAATCAATTGCTAGCAACAATATTTCAACAGTGGATGCCTCAAACGAGGATCAACTCCAAAAGGACTCTACTTTGGGGTTATTTCCATCGCAACAGCTCAAGCCTATTTACAATGGCAGCCTTCTCAGCAAAAACCCAATGTTGACAAAAAATGTTCTTTGCCACCTGATGAGCAAGTGCGGTGATGCAAGCAGCATAGACTACCAACAAACTTTACCTTGCTTTGACTTTTCTTCAGTGGATGACCCTTGTAAGGTTTGTGTCAAAAGACTAGATGCTGGGTTTATACATGAATTATCTGAGGACACCAGTTCTTCTCTGACAAATGGTACAAGTTATCAGTCTGGTGAACGAGGCTATGGAGGAGATGGTTTCGTGGTTGACAATGCAAAAGTTTCTTATGCTGCTCCACCTTTGGAGTTAAAGAACCAAAATCAAGATGTCATTTCAACAACTGTTTCTGGTGGGAGTTATTGGGAGTGTTTGCTTGGTAGTTCTAGCACCCCTAATAGTAATGGGATTGGAGATGTCAAGCTGAATGCATCTTCTGTGTTTGAGATACCACTTGATTTCGTTATTGACAAATGCTTACTGCAGGAAATCTTGCTTCAGTATCCTTACTCATATTCCAGATGTGGAGGAACGATAATCATTTTCTGTTTGGACTTTTTATCATTCCAATTATTTTTTCTTATGTTCTTTATTGGTGCTAGATATCCGGCCCAAACCTGAATTTAATTTGTATAGAATAGAATGGCATGCTTTCATATGCTGCATTTACCATTGTCTTTAATATTTGATTTTAGATATAAATCTCTTTGCAGTGACACGTGCTAACAAAATTTGGCTGTCTAAATAATACCAAAAGCCACAAACAAATTGGTAATATACTTTTGAGGTTGTTATAAATATATGAAATTTGAGATTTTAGATATGCATTTAGTAACCCCAATGAGAGCTTCAATTGTGTCAAAGTCCTATCTTACGGTGCCACTTGTAGACCAACTCTAATTGACCCTATCCAGTCTTCTTTCTGCTCAACATTTTTATGTTGGATTGTGGTTTTTCTTAATTATATAAGATATAACTATGTCAGCAAGTTAACCATCAAGATGCTTGAAGAAGGGTTTGATTTTCAAGAACATTTGCTAGCGCTACGACGATACCATTTCATGGAACTGGCAGACTGGGCAGATTTGTTTATTATGTCCCTTTCCCATCATGTATGTCCACCTGTCTAAGGCTCACTTAAATGCTTTAATATTTGAATGTTGTATGGTTTTTCAGAAAAAAAGAATTGAATATTATGTGATTGCTAAAATGCATTTACTTTTACATGGAATCAACAGAAATGGTGTGTTACAGAGGTGGATCGGAGACTCTCTGAAATTCAAGGCCTTCTTGAGTTGTCAGTCCAGAGGTCGTCCTGCGAAAGAGACCATCATAAAGATAGGTTATATGTGTATGCAAAAGGACATGGCATGATGCCTCTCTCAACTTCTACAATCGGTACAATTATATAGTTATTGAAAGTCTTCTCGCTTTATTTTTCAAAGATCAGCATTCTCAGATCCTATTCCTTTCCTTTTATTCCCTTTTCAACCTCCACCTTGGAATTCTTTATTTGGTTTATTTATCATCCTAATTCTTTTTTTTTGCTCGATTTATCATCCTAATTCTGATGGGCTGTTAATAATGGCAGGTGTCCGATCCTTTGACTTTTTAGGTCTGGGCTACCAAGTGGATTGGCCTGTCAGCATTATTTTGACTCCTGGTGCATTAAAAATATATGCTGATATATTCAACTTTCTGATACAACTGAAGCTTGCTATTTTTTCATTGACTGATGTATGGTGCTCATTAAAGGTACAAGGGACATGCATACAGAGATATGAACATTCACACTTGCATATGCATGTATGCAAACATACATGATATTTGGCAACAAGTTCTTTTCCTTGAAAGTTGAACCAAGTTAGTGCTTAATTTCTTAAGTCAAACCCAGTTGTTTTCATTCTTATTGTGTTAAATATATATATTACAAATTGATAGTTCCCTGTTTATAATTATCTTGATCAAGTGTTGGTGTATTACCCAATATTCATATATCTGCATGTAGTTTCTCAATGCTAAAACTGAGCAAAGAATCACTAAAGAATTTAATCTTTTAGTTCTACCCAAATGATGGTATACTTCATATTTTCTCTTGTCCAAGCTTCTCTCAGAACATTAAATTTGCATTTATAATCTTTATGTTGTACTTTCTGAGAGTTAAGTGTTTGCAACATGAATTAGAAACTTGGGTTTTGGAAATCATGGAAATTCAAATGAATTCATGTCTTGATAAGGTACTTAAATGTTCGTTACAGGATGTAGTGCACTTGATAAGGCAAAAACGTCATTCCCCACTACATGAACATGAAGTGGGCCATTTTAACATGTTAATGAAGTTGAGGTATGGTCAATACTTCTTCCCTTTAGCACATAATTTCTTTGATTTTGTATTTTGCCCTTTTGGCTTAGAGCAAAGCATTTCACACTTATAGCCTATCTGCCTTTGCACTTGTTTGGAGCATCATTTGATGAAAGCTTGGAAGTATTGCTATTTGGAGGTTTGCAAAATATGAGGCATTCTAATATTTTGACTAAGCTTTAGTTTGAGAAATGGGAATTTCTAAATGGTAATCCAATCTTCACTCTCTTTGAATGTAAAGGTTCTTTCGGTGTGGGTGACCTCTTTTTTTTTTTACTTTTTGATCCTCTTTTTTCCTCAAAATTTTGGTGCTAAAGTCAAAACCTACATTCTAGTTTCTTAAGGAGCTCAGACCCTTCATGTCTAGAGGATTGGCTAATGGTGCAGTAGGGAGTATAAATTTGGCCTATAAAAATAAATTAAAATTTTCAGCGTTTAAATGGTTATATCTGAGAATGTATTCTCCAATCTCCTTGGTTTCTTACCGTCAAACTATTGTCATATGTGATGTTGAGGTAGAAAGCATAAAAAAAAAAAAACAGAATCCATTGTATAAAAGGTGTCTAACTTTTGATGTTATTTTTTTTTTTTTGTAAATTTTACATACCTTTGGCATTTAGGTCTTCATTTTATCAAGTAACATTTTTTTTTCTCTTTTCTATGCCAGGCATCAGGTCAACCATTTTGTATCTACATTACAGCAATATGTACAGTCACAACTATCACATGTATCATGGTGCAAGTTTCTTCACTCCTTTAAGCACAAGGTTTTGGAAAATTCTTTTCACATTTTGTGTTTATTTCTTATGCCAATTGTGTATTCAGTTTACTAAAGTGGTTTTTGTGCATTGCCTGCCTGAAGCTAAGTCTTTCTCTTTTCTGTTTGAGTCAGAATTTTTTCAGGGACCTTCTTTTACTGACTTTAGTGAGATTATGGTTTTGAATACGACTATAAAGAAATACGATCAATGTAGCCTACCCCATTTAATGGGAAATATAGCCTACCCCATTTAATGGGAAATGGCTTGGGTTGTCTTTGTTGTTTGGTAAGCAATTAACTTTATTGCAATCCAGTGGAAAAAGTACAGTTGAACTAACATTCATCTCAATTGAAGAAATAACTGATTGAAAAAACACCATAGTACAGTGATGTTCATTATCTATGTAGCATAACCTGGCAGATCCAGCAAAGCTATGTTTTGAATTTTACTAACATTTGCCTTATCATCCAAAGCCTTCTTTACATTTTGCTTTTCCTTGTTGTTTAAGAACAGAGCCTGAAAAATAATTGATGCACTTGATCCATGACAAAACAGCCCTTTGACGTTTTCATCTTGCAGAAATACAACGTTGCTTCCTATAGTTCCTTGTAACTGAATAGTTAAAATGCATATAATCACGCTATTGAATCATTATGACATAACATCACTGTTGAGAATTTTTAATGATTCCTCTTCTTCCCAAAAATCAATTGTTTGCAATCTCTTCTTGATGGCTAACTACAACCGAAAAGCCTGTTTAGGCATATGATGCTTGAACCAGACCGCCTCATAACAAGAAGCATGTGCGGCTTTCAATCTTATACAGTCCCATGAATTCTTTTTTCTTTGCAATAGATGGCCAAATTAGCCTACCCTCTTCTGGTTGTCCAGAAAATTTTGCATTTGATTTTTCGTTATTTCTTTTCCTCTAGTCTAATATGAAAGTTTCTGCCAGAGCAAATATCAACTCAATTCAGTTCCATACTTCCATATCTTGTTTTCTTTGTCTTGTCAACTTTGTAACGTGATTAGTTTGTTTTAATATTGACTTTTACTTATTTTAATCTGAGGAAAAAATTCTTCATATTTGTGTTATATCTTGAGACATTTTCATGGTTCTACAGGTCAAGGATATGATGGATCTTGAGTCAGTGCATATGTCATATCTAATTGATTCACTACATATGTAAGATGTACTTCCTTTTGAAGTTTGAGTTGTCAGTTTCAGTTTACCCTTTTCTTTTCTGAAAACCAAAAACTTAATTTCTTTCAGATATAATAGTATGCATTTTGGGTCTTACTGCCTTGATCCCCTTTGAACTAAGTTTTCTAATTTCAAACTCCCTACCAAGAAATATTTCTGGAACTTGGAAATTATCTATCACCCGTATATGCTGCTACTCCAACTATCTGTCCCTCTGTTTGCTTGGGCTGCTTGCTTGTAAATTTGCAATGCTTTGAAATATTCATACCTTCTGCTTTATGCATCATTGTCCAGAATTCCTTTATTCACATCTACTCTTATTCAATTGCCAAATTTGGTTTGATCAAAGCTATAATAGGCAGCATAATTTTTTTGGCATGCTCAGTTTCACATTATTTGGTCTTGCTTGGCTATGTAATGAGTAAAGATGATTCTTCACTAACACTACATGTGTACTTCTCAGATGTTTTCTCTCTGATGAAACACGATCTATAGCCAGCATCATAGAAAACATTTTGCAATGTGCCCTAGACTTCCGGTCTTGTCTTACTGGGGATATATGGAATGTAGGACTTGCTGAAGATGATTTATCGGATAAACTTTCTAGGATAAATATATCCCAGGTAACCTTCAAATTTATTTGCATGCTGTTTCAATATGCTTTAAAATCTGAGCTTTTAGTTTCTTTATTTGCAAGCAAGGATTGTGCTATGATGGAGTTATAATACTCTGGGCATGAATTGCTTCATTGCATTACTGTTGTCTATAAGATGCACTCATTTATTCATTCTTTGTTTATGTACCACCTTCATCGCATTACTGTTTTCTATGGGATTTACTCATTTAAGCATTCTTTATTTATGTACCACCACTAGTAGCAACCTGAATTTTGAGGAAGAAAGCTACATGAAAATGCTAGCAGATGCTTCTTATTGGAATTAATTAAGCAACTTTATTTTGGTGAGTTATGCTTAGTGGTGGCTCAGTTCACATCCTTTTTATGGTAAACGGAAATTACTTTGATGGCCTTGTTTCAAATGGGTTGACAAGTCTGGTATTTGTGTCTGTAACTTATTTGCAAGTTATTGATAACTAGGAGCAGAGCAAATTTTAAATCTTTCTTTTCTTTTCTTTTCTTTATTTTGAAAAAGTATTAAAGGGGAAGGATGGGACTCGGTTTCAAAAAAAAAAAAAAAAAGGGGGTCCCTACTAAAGAGGGAGGGAATTAAAATTAACTGGTAAAACATAATGATGATGTCAAGGAGATATTTTAATGAAGGCTTGAGAGGTTATTTTCATTGGCAGTATTACAAGGCAAAAGATCCCTGAGAAGGGATAGTAACCATTGAACAAGTAGGAAAGTGTTTGCAGCAAGTGAAATGATTTTAATTTCTTATGTCTCAGCAAACATTATAGATGAGAGGATGCCTATTTAGCCTACTAATTACATTTGTTTGGCAGGTTCTCGCCATAAAGCAAAAGTTCAACAAAAATCTCAAAGAACTTCATCTACTCTACATCAAATCACCTAAACATGGGGAGTTTGGGCTTTCCTGTTTCTGGGGATATCTCAACTACAATGACTTCTACTGTAATGGAAATGAAATGGGCCGTCATGCTTTCTCAATCTAAACTCCTTTCCATGCAGATTGAAAGTAGGCAGTGATTTGCATTCCTTATTTGAGATATGAGTTTACGGAAATGAGTTCAACAGTAGAAGCTCGAAACCGCATCATGGTTTAGATTTGATATTTTGTTGGACACTTAGCTGCAGCCAACCTGCATCTATCATCATGCTCTGCTGTGGGGATCCTTGTTCATGCGAGGTGGGGAATCAATCTCTTGTTTGGTTGGACAAGGTAAGCTGTGACATCCAATTTGTGATTTTTGGTGTTTCTGGCGTCGTAGCTGCAGTGTAAAGCCTAAAATTTTTCCATTGGCCTACTAGCTAACCTATTGAATTATTTTCAAAGGGAAAAAACTTGAATATGCTTCTGAGTTGCAATATTTTTCAACAAAAGGGCCTGTAAATGTCTCGTATTTATAGTATGGAAGCAAGTTATAGCGTTAATGATATTCTTTTTTGATTCGGAAAGGGGTTTTTGGACCTGGCCTTTTGATTTGGACATACATGCAGTTCATATCGAAGCTATAGTGTTGATAATTTTCATTGGTCTGCCTTTTCCTGTAAGTGAGAAAAATGCCAAAGGCAGTCCATATTTGTAAAATATTAGTTTGTGTACCGACTATTCTGTTAATTCTAGTCCTCGTTCCTCAGCTCAGCTCAGCTCAGCTCAAAACCAAAAAGGAATTATTATTTTTTATTTTGCTAGTATATAACCCAACAATGGAATAATTATATGCGAGGAACATTGCTCTTGTCACATCCTTAACCTTATCCAAAGAACAGTGCCGTATGCCATAGACAAACCATTCACTGGGTGTGAAGGCATGGCCTATTATTTTATTCTATATTTGATTTTTCATTTATGACAAATAAGATATTTCAAGGGTTTAAAATATAGGACTATTCTTATCTTTCACCAGCGATTTTAAATTACACAAACTTGTTTTTTATATAATCTATGCGTGTGCCTACTTAAATTTGATTTATATTAATTTATAAACCTTCTTGAACTTATTTGTAGTTTAGGAATAGTAATGTTATTTTATTTTTAAAAAGTGATATAAAATGATAAATAATTAATTTGTGAACATTTATTTATTTATTAAGGTTATTAAAACAAGCATTGACATTGAGCTGCATCCGAAGTTCCAAAATTCATGCACTTTCTCTGGCCAGGCTGCCGCATTGTGGACTGTAGGATGGGTTTGATTTGAGGCGAAACCTGAGACCCCACTACACGAGGCTAGAGTTCTAAAGTTGCTCGCTCTTATCCAAAGTAGTAACGGCAAACAGTTCCGACAAGGTTGAGGAAGATTGCTTTTCGTACTTTGATCAAATTTACGTTATAAATAATAAATTTTTATTCAAAGTAATGCTAATTTTCGGTGATATTTGGATATAATAATAATAATAATTTTATAAGCATTTTATCTTTTTAAAGAAATTGGACGGTCCGGTAGTCATGCTTTAGCATTTCTCTTTCTTATTCCCGGTCCTGATTGCTGCTATCAGACTGTTCCCCGTCACCATTCTCTGCAAGTAGTGACTTTGGTCAGACTTAGACCGTTGAAAATTGTCACTTCCAAATGGCAAACAATATCATACGTAACCGCACAACAACTGCTACTGCTGCAACTGCTACTCACTTTCTCCACTTCCATCTAGGTAAAAAAACAGAAACAAACAAACACTATAAGTTGTGACATCATTTTTTACAACGAAAAATGGGTAAGATATTCCCTTTGAATTGATTGGCATCATTATCTTTTGCTTGGACAACCCATATTTTGTGTTACTTTTTAGAGTGTGGGTTAATGAGAATCTCAGTCAGTTATCACTAATCAGTTTCGGGTGTGGCTCTTAGATATGGGTGAGCACACAAACACTACCACAACAACAAAAACAGAACAAAGTCTGGTTTTTGCAGTTAATGGACAGCGGTTTGAGCTCTCTGAAGTTGATCCTTCTACTACTTTGCTTGAGTTCTTGCGTTCCCAGACCTCTTTCAAAAGTGTCAAGCTTGGCTGTGGTGAAGGTCTGTCTTTTTCCTTTCTCTTTCTATTTCTTTATGAAAGTAATATTATTTCTTTTTTGAAATTCTAATCAATTATAAACGTTAAGTTTCATTTTGGATTGGTTCTCTTTAATGGGTCGATGTGTTTTCTTTAAATGGGTGGATGTCAAGTTCTTAAACTTGTTATTGCCTATAGACTCGTACGTGTGTTTCAATATAATAGTTTATTGTGCATTACTTTTTCTTTGATGGGTAGTTGGATTTTCTTCTTCTGAATGTAAAAGTTTATATTATTGCCATGGTTTTTCATTGCTGCATTGGGTTTAATTGTTTTGCACTTTCAAATTTGATGATTGTTCACTCTTTTGAAGCACTTCTTTTTATGCCAATTTTGTATAAACATATGACTGTTTCATTTAATGGTTTGTTTAAATTTTGGTTTTCCTAATACAGGGAAAATTGGTGGTTGAACACTTTTTTTTTTTGTTTGTACTTGAGAGGGGCATACCACCCTGGTCTTAACACTGTTAGATGACTATATAAAGCAGTGAAAATTTAAAACATAGTTTAAATCTATTCTTTTACCAATTTGTTTTGTTATTACATAAGTTATAACTTACAGGAATATTTTGAGTTGAAAAATTGCAATTATTAAGTGATGGTTTGCTAATTCTTGAATCTAGAATATGTCAGCTTAAATCATTTTACCAGTTCATGCTGTTACCAGAAAAAGGAAAATCCTTTTTGCCATGTCTTATCAACTTTTTTGAATATTGGTATAATTTCCATGTTTTCAGTATCTTTCATCATACTTATTTTCATATTTTATATGAATTTTAGTATTCTGCAGGTTTTCCTTTTTCAGATTCTATTCATAAATTGAGTGTTGAATAGTTAAAGTTGGAAATTAAATTTTTATTTACATTTATCATATGTTTTTACTAAAAAGGTTTAGATAAATTAGGGTCTTATGTTTTAACATGTACCAAACAGTTTTTCTTGTGTAAATTCAATAATTATTGTAGTGCTTAGATTTTCAGTTTTGTTAATAATTTTGTTTGGTTATCTGCTCATCAGTCTAATCTATGTTTATGTATCTGCCGTTACAAGGCAGAGGAAATAAAAGTTCTTGTTGATTTGAATCTTGGATTGCTTTCATAGTTTGAGACTTTAGACAATAACAGCCAGCTCTAACCCAAGTAACTGTTTTGCTTTATGGAAGCGAATTGTTTAGAAGTCATTCTAGTATTAGTTTAGAGCTGGCTTATCTATTTGTTGATTTTTGTATCTCCTTTTGTCCTGTATTGCCAAATTTATGATTTCTGATACTGTTTTCTTGTTTGACAGGAGGCTGTGGTGCCTGTGTTGTCCTACTGTCCAAGTATGACCCTGTGCATGACAAGGTTGACGATTTTACTGTTAGTTCATGCCTCACACTACTTTGTAGTGTAAATGGATGTTCAATCACAACAGCTGAGGGGGTTGGAAATAGCAAGGATGGGTTTCACCCCATTCAAGAAAGATTCAGTGGTTTCCATGCTTCTCAATGTGGTTATTGTACTCCCGGAATGTGTGTTTCTCTTTATTCAGCACTTGTCAATGCTGATAAGACGAATAGGCCAGAACCACGTCCTGGATTCTCCAAGCTATCAGTTTCTGAAGCAGAAAAGTCTATTGCAGGAAATCTTTGTCGCTGTACTGGTTACCGACCCATTGTTGATGCCTGTAAAACTTTTGCTGCTGATGTTGATATGGAGGATTTGGGATTAAACTCCTTTTGGGAAAAAGGAGAAAGTGATGAAGCAAAGCTTAGTAGATTACCTCCATACCATCATAATAATGCAACTTGTACATTTCCTGAGTTTCTGAAGAAGGAAATTACGGCAGGTGTCAATCTGGCATCTGAAGGATATTATTGGTATAGTCCTGTTAGTCTTGAGCAGCTTCAAAGCTTATTGCAAATGGATGAGGAGAATGATGGAACCTCAACAAAGATTGTTGTTGGTAACACAGGAATGGGTTATTATAAGGAAGTAGTACATCATAACAAGTACATTGATTTGAGATATATTCCAGAGCTATCAATCATCAGGAAAGACCTGGCAGGGATTGAAATTGGAGCATCTGTGCCAATTTCTAAAGCTGTTGAAGCTATGAAGGAAGTAAATGAAGGTGAATTTAACCAAGAAGGTAAACTAGTCTTCAAAAAACTTGCTGACCATATGGAAAGGATTGCTTCAGGGTTTATAAGGAATTCAGCTAGTATAGGAGGAAACCTGATAATGGCTCAGAGGAAACATTTTCCATCAGATATTGCTACAATACTACTTGCTGTGGATACAATGGTTGATATATTGACCGGTCAGAGACATGAAAAGATCACGCTGGAAGAGTTCCTTGGGAGGCCTCCATTAGTTTCCAAAAGTGTTCTTGTAAGCATCAAAATTCCATGCTGGAAGTCAAGTAGGGATATTTCTTACTTGCTATATGAAACCTACAGAGCTGCACCACGCCCTATTGGAAATGCACTTTCCTATTTGAATGGTGCTTTCTTGGCTGAGGTTTCTCTTTGTAAAAATTCTGCTGGAATTATTCTAAATAACTGTCGGTTGGCTTTTGGTGCTTATGGAACAAAACATTCAATCAGAGCGAGGAAAGTTGAAGAGTTTCTATCTGCAAAATTGCTAAATGTAGGTGTTCTATATGAGGCTATTAAACTCGTTGAAAGTACTGTATTACCTGAAGACGGGACCTCCTGTCCAGCTTATAGATCCAGCTTGGCTGTTGGCTTTCTCTTTGAGTTCCTAAGTCCCTTTATTAACAACCCAGCAGATACTAATAGCTTTCAACGTGATGGATCTAATAGCTCTTTGCTGTTCAAGGATTCCAAAATAAAACAGAATTTTGACCAGTTTGATCAAATCAAATCCTCAACTTTGTTATCATCTGCAAAGCAGGTGATTCAGTTGAGTGAAGAATACCATCCGGTTGGAAAGCCAATTACAAAAGCTGGAGCCACCATCCAAGCTTCGGGTTTGTCATATCTTACTTCTTATTCTTTGATCTTGCAGTCATAGGTTCACCAGTAACAACTTTTAAGACTCCATTTGGTTGTTACTTTTGTTGCTTTTTTTTTTTTCTTTCTGTTAATTGCATTATGATTTTCCAAAAATGGCTATAAAACAAAAGAAAGTAGCCCCCCAAAAATATCATTTTTTGATTAAAAAAGGGTTAAAATATTTCACCAATTCAAATATGATTATTCTATTTAGAAGCAAAATCATGCATTTTGTTGCCATGAAAGTTTTATTTGTACTTTTTAATTTTTCAAAGATATCTTTTCTTGTTGCTTCCAAAAGCAAAATTCATGTAACAAAAGTGACTAACTAGATGGAGTATATATTTATGTTATCAATCCTTTTCTGCCATTTTCTAGTAGCATTACTCTTGATGAGGGTAATTAATTGGGTGGAACATGCTAGTGCAACTGTGCATACACTTGTGCTTCTCTAAGCACAATTTGTGCTTGAAACTATTGCCAGCTATTAAGCTTATTTTGGATAATGCCTTGTTATTTAAAATGTTAAACATAAATGCTTCTGTGGATAAAATTAACTTCTTGTTTCCTGATTCATCAAGAATACATTGGATCAGATGTATCCAAGATTGTTTCTTTTTTTTTTTGTAAAAGTCACTCTTATTTTAGCTTTCATTTATAAAGTTTCATTTACCTGCTGCATGCACTGTACAATTAAATATTTTCAATGCTGCTCAGTCACCATATTTTGTAGGTGAGGCCGTTTATGTGGATGACATTCCATCTCCAAGAAATTGCCTACATGGAGCATTTATTTATAGCACAGAGCCTCTGGCGCGGGTGAAGGGCATAAAATTTAAGCCCGGATCATCACTTGACGGAGTCACCACACTTATTTCTTTCAAAGACATTCCTGGGGAGAATGTAGGTTCTCAGACCATGTTTGGTAGTGAACCTTTATATGCAGATGAGCTTACTCAATGTGCCGGTCAGCGCATTGCCTTAGTGGTAATTCCATGGTTTCATTTTTGTTACTTTGCCATATCTGGCCTCTGTTTTTGTTTGTTTTAATCATCATCAAGTTTCCTTTAAGGGCTTTTGATGTATAATATCACTATCTCATCAATAAAATGACATATTTAAAACTTGATCCTATAAATTACTATCTTAGGTTGCAGATACACAGAAAAATGCAGACATGGCAGCCAACCTTGCAGTGATTGATTATGACAAGGAGGATCTAGAACCAATATTATCTGTAGAAGAGGCTTTTGAGAGATGTAGTTTTTTTGAGGTCCCTCCTTACCTTTACCCTGAACAAGTTGGTGATTATTCAAAGGGAATGGCTGAAGCCGATCATCAAATTCTCTCTGCTGAGGTAATTTTCATACTTTATTGTTGCTTCTGCTCTCTCCCTCTCTCCCCCACCCCAATTTATCCTTTTCCTTTCCCACATTCCTTGTTCTTTTTCTCCCTGTGAGTATATCTTTTAGTACAACCCATTTTTGCACTTTTTTTTGGAAAAGTAATCATGATACAAATTCATATAGGCTCATTTATTTGAGAACCATTTTTTAACTTGATCATGGGAAGTTTTCTTTGGATTTTTACATCTAGATCAAACTTGGATCACAATACTATTTCTATATGGAGACACAAACTGCTCTTGCTGTGCCAGATGAAGACAACTGCATGGTAGTATACACTTCAAGTCAATGCCCTGAGACTGCACATGATACAATAGCTAAATGCCTTGGTGTTCCTGGACACAATGTTCGTGTGATTACAAGAAGGGTCGGAGGAGGATTTGGTGGAAAGGCCATAAAAGCAATGCCTGTTAGTATCTTTCTGTGTGCTCATCTCATTTTTTCTTCTATTTCTTGGTTTTTTAACTTTTCTTCTCAACTATCACAAGGTATTCCTTGTTTCCAGCCTCGAATTGCTATTTTAAAAATTATAGACAGAAATATTGAATTAGAGCTGCTAATTTACTAATTTTATATTATTTTTAGATGATAGATTTGTTTTGTATAGTCAGCCAAATATAACCCATGTGATTGATTTTGTTTTCCATCTGCATGTTATGCTTGTTTAGTACCGTCGTATAACAAGTTAACAACATAGAGATTCATTTCACTCTTGCTTGTCAATAGTTTTTAGGGCATGTGTTTCTGGTAAATATTATTGCACATCAGCATTATTATATGCAATAATTTTGTTTCTTTTTTCCTTTAACTAAAACTTGAATGAAGTCTATTAAAGATATATGTAAACTAGAAAGCTGATGGTTATCGTAATAAAACTTTTGACCTAAAACCAATTAGCAAAAGAGATAGGGAGCCCAATTTGAATATAAGGCCACAATTAAAATAACTGATGTTAGTTGACTTCACATAAGCAAAATAGAAGGAAACAACATTTGTGTAGGACATAAAACTTAGAATAAGCATAGAGTTGGAGGTTCATTTGTTTTGGAGACTATTTTCTAAATTCATGCTGAAGTGATTCTTGATCCTATCCCTCGCCTAACATCCTCTAAGTTTTGTGGTTTCTCAGAACTCAAAACAAGTGTCTCTAGCTTGTGCTATTTGTGTTGCTTAATTAGTCCATTTATGTTGCCACAGACTGCTTACAATGTGATGTTATAGGTTTCTACGGCATGCGCTCTTGCTGCCTACAAACTAAACCGTCCAGTCAGGATGTATGTCAATCGCAAGACTGATATGATAATGGCAGGGGGAAGGCATCCAATGAAAATAACTTACAGTGTAGGATTCAAAACTAACGGGAAGATCACAGCCCTTAAACTTGATATACTAATTGATGCAGGGATGTCACCTGATATAAGTCCAATTATGCCACATAATATACTTGGTTCACTTAGAAAGTATGACTGGGGTGCATTAGCTTTCGATATAAAGGTATGCAAAACAAACCTTCCAAGTAGATCGGCAATGAGGGCCCCTGGGGAGGTACAGGCATCATTTATTGCTGAAGCTATAATTGAACATGTTGCATCTGCCCTTGCCCTGGGAGTGGATTCTGTCAGAAATATTAATCTCCATAACTACGAAAGCCTTGAATTATTTTTCAAAACCAGTGCCGGTGAACCTTTGGAGTATACTTTACCTTCTATATGGGATAAGTTGGCCATGTCTTCAAGCTTTTACCATAGGACTGAAATGATAAAAGAATTTAATAGGTGCAATAAGTGGCGGAAAAGGGGAATTTCTCGAGTGCCTATTGTGCACCACGTAATGTTGAGAGCAACACCAGGGAAAGTAAGCATTCTACATGATGGATCTATTGTTGTTGAAGTTGGGGGAATTGAGCTGGGTCAGGGTCTCTGGACAAAGGTAAAACAGATGACTGCATATGCTCTTAGTTTGGTCCAATGTGGTGGAACAGAAGAACTTTTGGAGAAGGTGAGGGTCATACAAGCTGATACCTTGAGTTTAATTCAAGGTGGTTTCACTGCTGGCAGCACAACATCCGAGTCGAGCTGTGAAGCTGTAAGACTTTGCTGCAATATCTTGGTTGAGAGACTTACTGCTCTCAAGGAAAAATTGGTAGAGCAAATGGGATCTATAAAATGGGAGACATTGATTCTTCAGGTATGTATCTTCCCTTCTACATATTCGAGCTCAACTCATTAAGTTTCCACTTTGGCAGCTGGAGGACTTTGAGAGTTGCCCTCCTTTTTAATGACATCATTAGCCCATTTTTATGCTTACTCTGATATCTCTACGCCTATAGGATCTTCGTTAAACTCAAGTTCTTATTACCATACTTAGAGAAGAGTGTAAAGGAAAACAAAAGGTTTAGATTAGAGTCCTATAATTCATTTACTTATTTTTCTAATTCAAATTTTGGAAATTTGGGTAGTTTTCTTTACTGAAGTAGTAACATTTACTTTTGTAGATAATTCACATTTTTTGATTTAAGGGTTCTTATAACTAATAATATTTAACACCACTGCTTGTTAGTGAACTTCTATTTTAGGTACAACTACACCGCCAGGTGTATTTATGATTTCTTCGTTTATGTTTGTTACTTGTGGCACTAGCTTTTACGTCTAAATGTGCTAAATGTCTCTTTGCTTTTCATGGCTCCCATAAAGAAGATGTAATGTTGCAAATAATCTGTATATGCTACTGAGGTTTAAGAGTTGCCTCATTAGCCTTGTTCTTTAATTATTTTAGCAAAGGTTCTCAGTTTTTGGCTCAAACATGCTAGTTAAATGAGAAAAAAATTATGGGAATGCATTTTATATGGGCCTTTATTTTTATTCTGCCTTTTTATTTCCTCATGCACTTACATGATGAGAATTTGTTTATAGGAATAGATTGCTTAAGAGAGAAGAATATATACTTGATCTGATATAGATGAATAGATTGCTTAAGAGAGAAGAATATATACTTGATCTGATATAGATGATTATTGCAGTTTCTCACTTTTCATCCACCACATGCAGGCCTATGGGAGTTCTGTGAACTTATCAACAAATTCATTATATGTACCAGACTTCTCTTCCATGCAATACTTAAATTATGGTGCTGCAGTGAGTGAGGCAAGTATATCAGTGGCCCCTATTCTGCTTGTCTTTCATGCTTAGGGGTCTTTGTTGAAGTAAATCTGGATATAGTCCATTAAACATGATTGGGTTCCATCTTATATCATTTGCAGAATGAATTATACTAACATCTTGAAAACTAACCCTATAGTTGCTAATTATGAAGATCTGACATTGCAGGTGGAGGTAAACCTTTTAACTGGCCAAACCACAATATTACAGACAGATATCATATATGATTGCGGCCAAAGCCTGAATCCTGCTGTGGATTTGGGACAGGTTAGTCCAAATATAATCTTTTTCATGATCTTTAATTTAACATATTTGTGCTGGAGCCTTTGCTTATGTTATTTTCTTTTTCGTTATTTAGTCTTTACATGTCAAGAATTTTTAAATTTCCCTTGATCTAAATACATGTCATTTCCATAGAAGGATTTTCTGTGTCTCAATATGCAGGGAGTTGAGATAGTGAATAGGATCTGCATTATAGTTGCTCTGTTTTCCTTTCTTCTAATCAATTGATTAGTCAGCATGATCTTGTGATACTAGATTCAAGAATTAACAATTTTCTTTTTCAGATTGAAGGAGCTTTTGTTCAAGGAATAGGGTTCTTTATGCTTGAAGAATACCCCACAAACTCAAATGGCTTAGTGGTGGCGGAAGGCACTTGGACTTATAAAATCCCTACGGTGGACACTATACCTAAACAATTTAATGTTGAAATCCTGAACAGCGGACATCATAAAAAACGTATACTTTCATCAAAAGGCAAGTTCAGATTTTTATCAAACCTAGTCTGTTTTCTTTATGCGTGATTTTACCTAAATATTTATCTGATGTCTAAACCGCTTTTATGAATGGTGAAACCTATACTATGTTCTTTTTGGTCAATATTTCCTGCAATATCAATGTCAATTGTCTTTTGGCTTGATTAGTCATATTTGTTTCAGTTGACCATTTGGTTTCTAGAACCCTTTTGCTAATGTATGCACTTCCTGTTATCATCTTGCAACTTCATGTATTTTATGAGTGTTTGTATGTGTTTGTGTGCTCATGTGCATGTATGTATGTAAAATGCAAGACAATGCACACAAAGGATAGAATCCAATCATTGCTCCAATGCTCAATGTAGGTTATTACTTTTGATTTGGTTAAGTGCCTAACCGATTTGATTCAAGTAATGAAAATTATGACTGGAGTTGAGCGGTCTAGTAAAACTATTGCAGTCTAAGCTTTTGTAGATATTTGACTTTTGTACCAGGAACAATAATCTGAAATTTGAATTTCTAGAAACTCTGTATATCTGATAGTGGAGAAACATGATTAATCCTGTGTGGCTTCCGTGAAAAGATTGCTTTGTAGCAAGTCACCAGTTGAAAGTGCAAATAAATAATGAAAAGGATAGCAGAGTTGGTGTAGATTAGTATAGTACTCTATTTTGTCATTTCTCCTTCTATACTATATGTAGTTAGGTGCTTGAGGTGATCAAATTGCTGCTTGTTAATGTTTGTAGTAGTTCATGTATTGGACACAAGGATAAGTTTGGGGGAAAAAAAAGAGAAAACCAAAGTTATGAGACTGGTAAACATGATACTTATTATCAATTTCTACCATTTGTTCTTTTGCAGCTTCTGGAGAGCCACCGTTAACTCTAGCAGTTTCTGTACACTGTGCTATAAGAGCAGCTATAAAAGAAGCCAGGCAGCAACTTCATTCATGGGGTGGCTTAGACGAGTCTAATTCTACATTTCAGTTGGAGGTACCTGCCACCATGCCTGTCGTGAAGGAGCTCTGTGGGCTTGATAGTGTTCAGAGGTTCTTACAGTGGACAATAAGCACCAAGTGATGGGATTCTGCAGGCTGTGTGGTTAAATTTGTACTTAAAAACTTTTTCACACAAACTATGCCAAGTCAGTTAGACATCACTTACCCTATTATTGTACTTCAAGCAAGATTGAATTTATATTATAAAGCACAGAATTAGTTAATAAATGGTATTGCTTTGAGTTACTCAATGAAGAGCAAAGAAGAGTTCAAGATGTGCTTAATATTTGGTTAATGGCTTCATTCAAAACCAGCCTTTCTTAGAAAAGAAAATGAAAAAAAAAAAAATGAGGGGTATCAACGTTCTTATTGAGTAATAACAATTTGTAAATTAAGCCACAAATGGGTTTGATCTAAAAAGAGAAGCGTCTATCCTATTTATAACATTAATAAATTAGTTTTTAATTTCAAAAATAAAAAATTAAGGAAACTACTTTTTGATCTTAATCTGGAAAATATTCAATTTTATGAATAACTCAACCTGCCATAAATTAGTAAATTTCACTCTAAGATTATCTAATAAATTTTGTCACATAAAAAAAAAAAGGACAAAGGGTAAAGACAAAAGCCTAAAATTAAATGGCATTACTCAAAAATTAATATGAAATATATATATAAGTGTTAGATGTTTAAAAAATAATATAATTTTGGAATGTGTAACTATTAAACCTGGGATCATTATTAGTGTTTGTGTCTCGTGAGCAAACTTGTCAAATCTCAAGCTAGTTTTAATTTAAATTTTTTTTATCAATTATCATATATCTGTTGTTAAATTTAAAATTTTAAACATGTTTACTTTCACATATATGTTCCCTTATAGTAAAGTATAATTATTTTGTTTTCTACTCAATGCAAATCTAACCTAACTATTAATGTTATAATACGTGATTAATTCTAAACATATAATATATTCAATTAATTCTAAACATATTTAAGCAATAGTCATACTTAAATGAAAACACAAATACCTGGAAACATCTTCGTTCATACATCCCATTAAAATATAAACTTAGTATTTAGATTACATTTTACGTAATTTCAGTAAATATAACTAATCAAAACACATCATCAACATAAAGACTTCTAGCAGTGGAGTGATAGGGAATGTATTATGAGATACCATAACTTGCACCGTGGTAGAAGTAAAATTCATCAGAGGATACACTAAGTGGATCAGTTATTTGTAAAATAAAATAATGGGATGAGTTTTACGAACTCAATGATCATTGGCTCGATGACTAAGAAGAGGGTGGGAAACAAGCATTAAGGAGGGAACATTTGAATATAAAATGGCATAGGAATAACTACAATTAATCCGTAATCTCAAAAGAAGTAATCTTGCAAGTATTAAATCGTGATTAATTAGTTACTTAAAAATAGTAAAAATAAATAAATATACCACATCAAGTGGAAGTACGTTAAAAATCACAATTTCATTCCTTTCTCATGACAAGCATAAACAAGTTTCAATGCGTAATTAAAACACATGTTTAGACTTTTAATCAAATCAAACACAACAAGCTCTTGCCATGAAATAAACAGACTTATAGAAATCAATACCATGCCTTGGTCAATATTAAAATAGGTAAAAGAAACAAATCTTGGGCATATAAGAATATAACTTTTAAAATAAATACACCCTACTCATCTCAATTGGTAGAATTTTTCTCACCAATGATATCATCCACTCCTTTAACTTTATGTAATTTTATTAAGAAATTTCCAATAAACTTTTAAAGTTTTCTTGCTTAGTGCATTCGGCCATCACAAAGTCAATAACTTAGCCTCAACTTCAATCATAAATTGGTACTTATTGCTCTTTGTCTTCTCCCACTTTCATTATTTCTCATCTCACGGGTTGTTGAAATCCTTAATGTAGTTTCCTTTCACTTCCAAAATCCTTGCATATACTTTCAACTCTTCAATATTGCCCAAACCATAAAATGGATTATTTACATCAAAACCCTCTAATTTCTCTCTATTTATTAATTAACCCTCGCATGTTTTATTTCCTTTCGATTGAATCCTTCCTCCACTCCATTGATTTTACTTTTCTTCTATTTTTCTTCCTTAACACATATACAAATAAAATATCAAATTTATGTTTCACCAAATTACCACCATAATATTTAAGTATATAGTTACTTTTATACCTTATCTAATAATAACACATGGATCCAATTGATACCTTATTTATTTTAAAATTTTCCTACTTTCTCCTATTTCGGTTCAACTTAACTCTTCAAAATAGTCGGCCGATATTAGGCTATCATAAATATTCAAATTATTATTTTATTATTATATTATTAAAATATTATTTTATTTAATAATATTATTTTATTTTAAAATATTCTTTTTCCCTTCTACCACTTCTAATCACTTCAATTAACAAATACCATATGAAAAAAACAAAAAACAAAAATGCTGTGATCATGTTAAGAGTGAAAATCGATTGACGTAAATAACCAGGAAAGTAAAAGTCAAGCAATTTTTTCTTTATTGTTTCTACAATCTAGAAGTTGGATTCAATAGATACAATTAATGATATAAATATACAACTAAATAAAACATATTCTTTTTTTGTAAATTATGAATCTCAGAGAAAAGATTTCATGTAATAAATACGCATGTGGGGTAATATATATATATATATATATCCTTTCCACTCCTATAAAGTCAAATCATCTTTAATTTCTATGCTATTGGACACATCATCAGTTGAAATTTCATATAAAATTTTCTCTCTCCTAAAACAAAAATATTGATAATTTTAATAAAATTTCAAATAAAAATCTTTAATTTAGTGATTGATTCAAGAGTCAAAAATTATATTCTGCATAATTCCTTCTGATCGATAAAATGGTTATTTCATTGCAACAATAGCAACAAATTCAAGACAAGGAAATCACTAGTCCAATAAAGAATCCTTTAGAGCCTGAGATACTACATATGCAACTATGACTTTTTTTTTTTTTTGTTATTTGAATATAGAAAATATTTTACATCATTCTCCATCTTTAAAAAATTTTTCATCTATAATAATTTTTTATTATAATATTATAAAAATATCAGCATTTATCAACTATACAAACACCCAAGACATTTTATTCAATATTAAAAATATTGCATATAAATATTCTTCTTATAGTTGTTAGTTAATTAAGTGAATAAATCATAAATTGAAAATTAAAAGAAAGGAGAGATTTTCATGTGTGAAAATTTTATTTTTTATTTTTTATAATTTTTTAATTGACCTTAACTATTTTGGATTATATTAAAGATTCTTAGTAAAAATAATTATAATGATATGATCCCTATAAAATAATTGAATAAAAATAATTAATAATATTTTATTAAAAATAAATAAAAACATATTCTTTCTTATTAACCATCAAAATCTTTTTAGGTCCGAATATTTAGCTCATTGATTAATACATGATCCTCTTTTAAAGAGTAAGATTTGAATCTCCCTCTTCTCAATTATATAAAAAAAAACCATAAAATCCATTTCAATATCATTATATATTTATATTTACTAGTGTAATTAATTATAAATATATTTCGAGATGATTGATATCAAATCTCAATGATAAAGAAAAGATTCTAATATTTTTAGGTTTTAAATTAAACTTTTATTATGTGTAAGTTTAATTTTACGTAAGTTTATTAATTTATTCTATTGTTTTACTATTTTAATTTCATTTGATTGACTTTTATTTCAGTATGTATATGTTATCTATAATGATTATTATTTGATTATAATTATAATTTTTACTTGTATAAAAAATCTCATGATAAAAATAAAATAAAACTTAAACATGTTCTCTTTAAATATGAAAACAAATGAACTCTTTCTAGATTCAAATGAACTTATAAAATTCTTAATTATGTTACATTTGCTGAAATATAAACTTGTAGCAAAGATGAATAATATTTCTTTCTCTTAAAAAGTTTATAGACATAAGATCCTTTGGACTGGCATTCTATTGTCAAATGTAATTACGAAAGCAGGAGAAAGGTTGTTTTCGCTTTCATTGCTTTGATTTTTTTATTCTCTCATTTCAACACTTTTACTTGTCTTTGCCTCTCCAAAGTCTTCACTATTACTAGCTTGGAAATATCAACCATGGGAGAGCCGATTAGTCTACAATTTAAATACAATATATACATATATTTCAAAATTATTTTCTTAAATTCTGAAAAATCAACTATAAAAAAAGAAAAAAGAGGGAATGGGTGAAGTAATGCTCAGCAGGGACGTCATTTGATTTGCTTGTAAAGTTTCGGAGACAGTACGTATTGTTTATGAAATAGTTGGTAAGTGGCATTTCTGCCTTAATTATATATAGCGTTGGCAAATGAGTAGAGCAACTACTCTATCATAGCATAGCATCAGATTGGTCAAAGTCTGAAAAAATGGGGGAGGCAGGAAAGCAGAGGAGTTTGGTTTTTGCAGTTAATGGACGCAGGTATGAGCTCTTAGACGTAGACGACCCTTCAATTACTTTGCTTGAGTTCTTGCGTTCTCAAACTCCTTTCAAAAGTGTCAAGCTCGGCTGTGGTGAAGGTCTGGACATCTCTCTCTCTCTCTCTGTCTGTATTTTCCAGTCGTTTGTATGACAGTTTAGTTGTATGGTTTTGAGTGCTGATGACGGGTTTTTGTTTTTCTTCTGGATTTTAATTAATCATCAATAAGGAAAGCCAACTTGTCGAATTGTATTAATTATGCAAAGATATGTGTGTTTGACTATGATTGCATGCTGTGGTGCTTGTAGACAACTTGGGGTATATTTTCTGTACTTTTTTTTCTTTGATTGGGAGTTGTAAGGATCACATGTTTGGCTTTTTGTTCTTAAAAAGAACTAGTTAAAAGAAATTAACCCAGACCAAGAAAGATACTACTACTTCTTCTTCTTCTTTTTTTTATAATAAAATTAAGTCTTATTTAGCCAGTATTGCACTGCAAGTATGGAAACAACTTTTTCCCTAATGAAAATAATGAAGAATTTATTATATATATATAGAAAAATTATGTATTTGATAGTATTGAAAATGAAACTATTATATAACGATTTTCGAATATATTAAAATTTATCATATCAAAAAAATTATATTAGTTTATTAACTCACTTAAAAAAATTTTCTAGTTACACGATAATACATGAAGTAAGTTTATATATGATGTATTGTCGAGAATAATTTTACATATTTTCAATAAATCACAATTCGTTGTCTCATAATAATATTTATAAATAAAAATTTGAAAAAATTTTTATGGGGTGACAAATCTAACAATGAATATAAATTGATCTATACAAATACATGATTATAATAATTGTTTAAATTATTATATCTAGTATTATTATTTAAGAGTTTGGGTTAATTTAAGTTTAATATTATTCAATAACCATGATTATTAAAAAAAATATCATGTAATCTTATCATGAAAAGCATTAAAATTTAAGTTTTAATTGTTTAATTTTTTGCATCCCATTTCAACCTAGTTACTTACATAGAAGGCCGCTTCTACAAAAAGTAAAGTGAAAACCGTTAAGGGGTGGGCTACTTATTCTTGAAGGAATCTACAATATGCTCAACTAAAGGCAACAGCCCTTTAATACTATGCATAATCCACTTTTATGTCTTTAATTATCATTCTTCGTTTACTTTTTTCTTAATATTTTTATGTAAGTAGTAAATTTTAAATTAAATGGTTGTAAAATGTTAAAAACATGGACTCAGAAGCAGAGAGGAAATGAAAGTTTAGATGGAAAGGAGAAGAAATGAAAGTAATGGAGGTTTGGAATCTTGTATTACTTGTTTAAAGAATAAAAGCCTGCTAGAAAGCAAGTTAACTATTTTGCCTCCCATTTTAATCCCCTGTTACCAAAGGAATGGTTTCTGATTAATGTTGTCCTGTTTTACAGGTGGCTGTGGTGCCTGTATTGTCCTACTGTCTAAGTATGATCCGGTGCTCGACCAAGTTGAGGATTCTGCTGTGAGTTCATGTCTCACACTTCTTTGCAGTGTAAATGGATGTTCAATTACTACAGCTGAGGGAGTTGGAAATAGTAAGGATGGTTTCCATCCTATTCAGGAAAGGTTTGCTGGTTTCCATGCTTCTCAATGTGGCTTTTGTACTCCCGGAATGTGTGTTTCTCTCTTTTCAGCTCTTGTCAATGCTGATAAGACCAACAGGCCAGAACCCCGTCCTGGATTCTCCAAGCTCACAGTCTCTGAAGCAGAAAAGGCCATCGCAGGAAATCTTTGTCGCTGTACCGGTTATCGACCTATTGCTGATGCTTGCAAAAGTTTTGCTGCTGATGTTGATATGGAGGACTTGGGGTTGAACTCCTTCTGGAAAAACGGAGAAAGTGATGAAGCAAAGCTGAGTAGATTACCTTCATACAATCATAGTAATGCAAGTTCTAAGTTTCCTGAGTTTCTCAAGAAGCATATCAAGGCAGGTGCCACTCTGGCTTCTCAAGGATCTCATTGGTATAGTCCTGCTAGTGTTGAGGAGCTCCAAAGCTTATTGCAAGAGAATGAGGCTAATGATGGAACCTCAATGAAAATTATTGTTGGTAACACAGGGATGGGATATTACAAGGAACAAGAAAGCTATGACATGTACATTGATTTAAAATATATTCTTGAGCTCTCAATCATCAGGAAAGACCAGACAGGAATTGAAATTGGAGCAGCTGTGACAATTTCCAAAGCTATTGAAGCTATGAAGGAAGAAAATGAAGGTGATTTTCATCTAGAAAGTAAAACAGTGTTCCAAAAAATCGCTGCTCATATGGAAAAGATAGCTTCAGGATTCGTAAGGAATTCAGGTAGCGTAGGAGGAAATTTGATGATGGCCCAGAGGAAACATTTTCCATCAGATATTGCTACCATACTACTTCCTGTGGGTACAATAATGAATATAATGACAGGTCGGAAAATTGAAAAGCTTACACTGGAGGAGTTCCTTGGAAGGCCTCCTTTAGATTCCAAAACCATTCTTTTAAGCATTAAGATTCCTTGCTGGGGGTCAAGAAGGGATATTTCTTCTGAAACTGATACTAAGCTGCTATTTGACACTTATCGGGCTGCACTACGTCCTCTTGGAAATGCACTGCCCTATTTGAATGCTGCTTTCTTGGCTGAGGTTTCTTTTTGTACAAACTCTACTGGAGTTAGACTAAATAACTGCCAGTTGGCTTTTGGTGGTTATGGGACCAGACGTCCGATTAGAGCAAGGAAGGTTGAGGAGTTTCTTACTGGAAAGTTGCTAAGTGTCGGTGTTCTGTATGAGGCTACTAAATTACTTGGAACCATTGTAATACCTGAAGATGGTACCTCACATCCTAGTTACAGGACAAGCTTGGCTGTTGGCTATCTTTACGAGTTCCTAAGCCCCTTAATTGACACTCTTGCTGAAATTTCTGATGGTTTTCTCAATGGCATCTTGTTGAAAGATTCCAAAATAAAACCAAGTTGTGATGAGTTTGGTAAAAACCAACTCCCAACGTTGTTATCATCTGGAAAGCAGGTGATTCAATTAAGTGAAGAATATCATCCAGTTGGAAAGCCCATTACCAAAGCTGGAGCTGCCATTCAAGCTTCTGGTTTGTCCTTTCATACTTATTATTCTTTTGCTTCACATCAATAAGTCAACTATTAAAAATTTTTATTTAGTTTTTTGATGCTTTTCTGCTGTTTCCTAACGGCATGGATCCATGATTAATTGGTTTGGCACTTGAACAGTCGGTAATATTGTGACAATAGCATCTCTTCTCTGAATATGTGTCCTAGCACTTTTCTCATCATGCTCTTATGCTTCATTAGATGCATTGCCTAAATTTGTTGCAAGCTCAAACTTTGAATTCATTAAGCGTTAAACACGAATGCATCTTTTCTTAATTCCTTGAAAACATCATGAATATATTAACATACCCCAGTTTTTGTTTTCCCAACCATGCTTTGCTTTTCATCCTTAGATCTTCCTTGTTTACTGCTTTATGCTCTATACGATCAATATTCATTGAGCTCTTATGTAGGTGAGGCTATTTACGTGGATGACATTCCATCTCCAAGAAATTGCCTACATGGAGCCTTTGTATATAGCACAGAGCCTCTGGCACGGGTGAAGGGCATAAAATTTAAACCCGGTTCATCAACGGTTGGAGTAACTGCACTTATGACTGTCAAAGACATTCCAGGGAAGAACGTAGGTAGTAAGTCCATATTTGGTGAGGAGCCTTTGTATGCAGATGAGATTGCTCAATGTGTGGGAGATCGCATTGCCTTTGTGGTACATCCATTGTTTGACCATATCTAGGTCTTTCGTTAGTTTGTTGTAATTGTCATTACTATTAGACACAGTACAATGGTTATTATGTTTCCTTTATAAGCTCTTGATGTTTAATTTTTATTGGACTTTGATCATTAAGATGACACTTTCAGGTAGCAGGTACACAGAAACATGCAGACCTGGCAGCAAACATTGCAGTGGTTGATTATGACAAGGAGAATCTCGAACCACCCATATTATCTGTAGAAGAAGCTGTTGATAGATGTAGCTTTTTTGAGCTTCCACCTTCCCTTTACCCCCTACAATTTGGTGATTTCTCCAAAGGCATGGATGCAGCTGATCACCAAATTCTCTCAGCTCAGGTAAAGTCTATACTTTGTTGCTTCTCTGCTTCCTGATCTCACCCAGTATACCTGTTCTTTTTCTTCATCTGAATTAACCTGCATACAAGCCGTATTTTCTGTCCTCTGACAAACCTTTATCATGGAAAGTCACAAAAAATTTCTGTTGACTTCCTCTATCTAGATCGAACTTGGGTCGCAATACTATTTCTATATGGAGACACAAACTGCGCTGGCTGTGCCAGATGAAGACAACTGCATTGTGGTGTACAGTTCTAATCAAGTCCCTGAGTTCACACAAGATACAATAGCTCAATGCCTTGGTGTTCCTGGACATAACGTTCGTGTGGTTACAAGAAGGATCGGAGGAGGTTTTGGTGGAAAGGCCATAAAAGCAATTTCTGTGAGTGTCATTCTACTACTGTATAGTTTTCTTATCTCTGCTTTTTTTTTTTAAACTTCTCTTTTTAGGAAGATGAGCTTGTTTTCCAGCATCAAATTGAGTGTTTTTAGAAACTGGAAAAGAAAGTACTAATACACTAAGAAGATAAGCTTTGTATCTAGATGGGGAATTGCTTTTGGTAGAGTGAGCTGAAATTAATCTATGTACTTGATTGCGTTTTTTATTTTTCTTCCAAGGTCTTCTGCTTCTTTTGCTATGCCATTAGGAGAGAAAGCACTTCCCTCTTTGTTTAATTTCTTTACTTGGGGGACGGATAAAGAGTGTTTCCATACTTGTTCAATTTAATTAAATTCTGTGGCCCAGAAAACTTCTGAGTATTACAGCTTGGTTGGTTTGGTCTGACATTGGCATTTAGAATTATGTAAGAAGTACCTAGGGTATGGTAAAGCACTCAGAAATAATGGAAGATTAGTTGATTGGATTGAAGTTAGCCATCTTCATAAATGGCGTTTGCTGTTGAGTGATTTTTGAAGTGATCTACATTCCATACTTAAGCAACCTAACTTTCTAGGTTTTGTTGACAGAAAACTTTTGCCATTCACAATATGGTGTACACTAGATCAATTCACTAAGTTCACCATCACTGTGTCATATTCAATCAAATATGTTTTTGTTGGTTCAATCTTCTTGTCCTTTTCCTTTGTCTTACTGAAGCTAATAATATTCAGAATTAGATGCTAACTTAAGCATATAATTGGAGATTCATCGGTTTGGCTGTCCTTGTGCAGTTGCGCAGAAGTGATAGTTGATCCTCTGTTACGCATAAGATCCCTCAAATTTTTTGTGGCATCTAAAATTTAGTGCTACCCTCTTTAGTCTGTTATTTGTATCACTTAACTATATGACTTAATGTAGGTTGCTACAGCTTGTGCACTTGCTGCTTACAAATTACAGCGTCCAGTCAGGATATACATGAACCGAAAGACTGATATGATAATGGCAGGAGGAAGGCACCCCATGAAAATAACTTATAGTGTAGGATTCAAAACTAATGGGAAGATTACTGCCCTAAAACTCAATATACTAATCGATGCAGGGATATACTCGGATGTAAGTTTAGCTATTCCTGGAATGATGCTTGGAGCACTTAAGAAATATGACTGGGGTGCTCTATCTTTTGATGTAAAACTATGCAAAACAAACCTTCCGAGTAGATCAGCAATGAGGGCCCCAGGAGACCTACAGGGATCATTTATTGCTGAAGCAATAATCGAAGACGTAGCATCCTCCCTTTCCATTGAAGTGGATTCTGTCAGAAATGTTAATCTCCACACATACAACAGCCTTGACTTCTTTTACAAGAGTAGTGCAGGCGAACCTATGGAGTATACTTTACCTGCAATATGGGATAAGTTGGCCACTTCTTCAAGCTTTTACCAGAGGACTGAAATGTTAAAAGAATTCAATAGGCGTAATACATGGCGGAAAAGGGGAATTTCACGTGTGCCAATTGTGCATGAAGTGTCAGTGAGAGCAACACCAGGGAAAGTAAGCATTCTACATGATGGATCCATTGTTGTTGAAGTTGGAGGAATTGAGTTGGGTCAGGGTCTCTGGACAAAAGTAAAACAGATGACTGCATATGCTCTCAGTTTGATCCAATGTGGTGGAACAGAAGAACTTTCCAAGAAAGTAAGGGTCATACAAGCAGATACTTTGAGTTTAATTCAAGGGGGTATGACTGCTGGCAGCACAACATCTGAGTCCAGCTGTGAAGCAGTTAGACTTTGCTGCAATGTCTTGGTTGAGAGACTTACCTCTCTCAAGGAGAAGTTGCTGCAGCAAATGAAATCTATAGAATGGGAGACGCTGATTTTTCAGGTAGATGTGTGACTATCAGAAATTTTCTGACTTCATTATATTTCCATTTTGGCTGCTGGATGAATCCTAGAAGTCACCTTCCTAGGAACAATAATATCAGAATATTTTCCTTCTAGCTCTGATGCCTCGCACACTTTGAGATCTTTGCAAAATTATGGTCATACATTCACTTTTACTCTACCAAGAGAAAAGAGATATATTACTTTGCTGTTCTAGACAAGTTCATTATATTTTATCATAGCAGTGCCACTCTTTTTGTATACAGCAACTTCATTGCAAGTTCACATGTATTATTTTTTTTGAAAATTAAGTTCACATGTATTATTAATGCAGGCATATCTCAATTCTGTGAACTTATCAGCAAGTTCATATTATGTACCTGACTCTTCCTCTACACATTACCTAAACTATGGTGTAGCAGTGAGTGAGGCAAGTTTATCCCTTGCTTCATCTTTCTTTAAAGTTCATCTCAATTCTCAGTTGATTTGGCATGTTGAACATGATGCAGAACAAATCATACTGCCATATTTGGACTGACTTGACAGTTACTAATTTGAAGCTATGGCATTGCAGGTGGAGGTAAACCTTTTAACGGGGGAAACAACAACTTTGCGGACAGATATTCTATATGACTGTGGCCAGAGCTTGAATCCTGCTGTGGATTTAGGACAGGTTAGCTTGAATATAGTACTCTTAGCATGACTTCAGTTTAGAATGATTGCTCTGTAACCTTAGCTTGTTTGCGTTTAGTCTCAACTCTAAAGTCTTTCCGTGTCAGGCATGCCTAATATTTTTTTTTTCCCGACTTTATGCATTGTTGCTAAAGGATTTGACCGTGTACATATGCTGGGAGTTAGAATTTGTGTGCAAAACCTGCCCGCAAGTAGCTCTTGCTTCATTTGCTCTAGCTAGTTCATTGGTTAGTAGGATCTGTGTGATTTAAGACTCTTTAACAATTCTGTTTGCAGATTGAAGGAGCTTATGTTCAAGGAATTGGGTTCTTTATGCTTGAAGAATACCCCACAAACACAAATGGATTAGTGATTGCAAATGGCACATGGACTTATAAGATCCCTACAGTGGATACAATACCCAAACAGTTTAATGTCGAAATCTTAAACAGTGGACATCATAAAAACCGTGTACTTTCTTCAAAAGGCAAGTTCATATTAATTTTCACAGAATCCATGTCACTTTGCTCTATTCTTGATTTATCTAATTTTAATTGGTAGTATGAATGGAATGCCTGATCTATATATGATGTTCTTCTGTCAATGTTTACCGCAATGTGAATGCCAGGTGCAATATTTTCTGCTTGATAAATGGCATTCTTGTTTTGATTGACTAATCTGTTTTTAGGGCCTTTTCTGCTTAAGGTTGTTCATTCAAGTATTGAAATCACATTGCAACTTCATCCATCTTACTATTCATTTATCTCATGTATGTTTGTTTATGCCTACACATCAGCAGTATTATTCCATCCAAACTACCCACATCAAGGAACAATTCTCCTTGCACGTTTTATGATTTGGTTTCCTGCATCAACTATGGTGTGTAAAGTATTATTTTCTCTTTTATATTTCCAACTTTGCATCTAGGCACATTCAGCTCTTTTCAAAAGCTTAATCCTGGTCAGAAGATTGGTCCCTTATTAAGCATGTTTATGGAGTAGAAAAGTAATCAAAATGCCGCTTCAGCATGATTTTATATGTCCGTGGGTTGGGTACATGGAAAGAGTGGGGGAACATAGAGAAACCACTTCAAAACTGGTGAATATATGTAGTAATTCTATTACCTGTTCCTTTGCAGCATCTGGTGAGCCGCCATTACTTCTAGCAGTTTCAGTTCACTGTGCTACAAGGGCAGCTATAAAAGAAGCCAGGCGACAGCTTCTTTCATGGAGTGGCCTAGACAGAGACGTGTCTAATTCAACATTCAAGTTGCAGGTACCCGCCACCATGCCTGTTGTGAAGGAGCTGTGTGGGCTTGATGGCGTTCAGAGGTTCTTGCAATGGACAATGGGCAGAAAGTGATCAGGGGATTCGGCTGGCTGGTTGGCTAAAATTCAGTGTATCTGCATGTAATGTAATAATGTTACTGATAAATAAGCCTCCATTTTTCGTTCATGTTTCAAACAAGGTAAATTCTGTAGCTTGACATCAGACCATAGCTTTGGGCAAATTGTTGAATACATCGACTCAGGTCAGCTAACACGGGCAGACTTAGATGGTCAGTCACAAACATACATTAACCTGTTAATCAACCCGACAATCTACAAACTGTTCACTAGTTATAAAGAACTAAGGAGTTTTCATATTTACACCACCAAGAATTATCATGTGTGAAATGAAGACATTAATTCCTTTAAAAATTTTTCTATAAAGATTTAATAAATTTTCATAACGCTATCGAGTATCATTATATTATTTAAAATAAAGATATTTTTATTTAATGTATAAAAAATTTAAATATCATGACCACAAAAGTTGGTTCATGACTTTCTTTTTTATTTAATATATTAACGTATTTATTGATTAGTTGGTTTGAAACTCTTTAATTTTTCACGTGCAAAGGTTTAACTTCTCTCTTTCAAATGATTTCATCTGCTCTAACACTTTCCCATCTATCCAACCACTTTTGGGTTGGTTGTCGGGATATTAACATGGTCCCTTCTACAAGAATTTTCTGCGCCATGACGGCGGCATGATTAAATGAGTGAAATTACATCATATTTATGGTGTAGTTTTAAAAAAAAAAAATAGAATAAAAGGCAGAACTTAGGCACTCGGCAACGTCCAACCTAAACTCAACTTGTCTTGTCCAATTTTTTTGTTTCAAGGCCAATCTTAAACCTTCAATAAACCAAATCCAAATTAAATAAAAAAAAGAAAAATAAAATTTCCATTTATGAGAGATAACATTTAATTTTTTTGCTTTATTTTTGAAAGGCATTAAGAAAGATTTCATTAAAAAGGAGGAGAATGAAGTTTTCCCCTTTCATTCACAATTTGTCTTATTTAATTGTGTTCTTAATTAAAATTAAGGGTATTTGTTTAGTTTGTTAATTAAATAAATCTATACATAAGAAAAATAAAAAAATAATATAAGTATTTGATTACTTTAAAAGATAATATTAATACAAATATTATGTAACTATGAAAAAATAATGTCATTAAAAAATAATGAATAAATTAAAATAAATTCCTATAGAGAAAAGTGAACAAACTTTCTTGTTTAAATGGGAAATGACAAGTTGTTATAAAAAAATAGTAATTGTAAAGGTATAGAATAAAAAATAGTAATTAAATTTGAAAATAATTTACAAAATTACATCCTTAATATGTAAGTTGTGCCATTTTATAAACAATAATAAATTTTGATAATTTGTAAGTTGTGCCATTTTATAAACAATAATAAATTTAGTGCTCATTCTTTACATTGATCAGCAAAGAACATATAATCAGATTTAGTTTAGGTGTAAGAAAAGCTTGCTACAGCAACACTCAAGATTAGCTGCCTACAAAATAATTAGAAATAAATGGATCATTAATTAGCTGCAATGCATTAAGCATTGCAGAATTTTGACTTCTCAACATTTTATCTGAAGATTTTAGACTGACGCATTAGCTCCACATAAAAGAGGTTCTACCAGCACCAATTTACATGTCAACTGTACACGTAACAGAGAATTTTACATACTACCCCATATTGAAGTGTCAATGCCATAAGCATGTTTCACAATATATACAAAGAGTACAATACCAACTCCCTACTGGGAATTTTTTTTTCTGGATAGAAATAAGCTTTTTTTTTTCCTGGTTGCACATTCAGAAGCTAAGAGAATGACCAGAGGCAACACAATGGCATCCAAAGAAGCATTGAGTTTGCTCTAGGCTTAGATGAAAAGAAGCCCAAACATCATATCAGTAGAAGAAAAAAGATGAATCTAACACATAACAAAATAGTAAAGCAAAGACTGGTGAAGCTTTTATGAATACTAAAAGAAACCCTAGCTGGTGAACTACTAGTTCAGGCTAATGTCTTTGAACTAAGTTCTGATTGAGGGGACATAACACAGGAAAACGACTGATGGGCTGCTACTTTGGTGTCTGTCCATGGATTCAGCATTGAAAGTCATGGCATAAGTACACGAGGAAAAACCTTGAGTCTGTGTCAGTGCAAATGGGGTTTCGATAGAATTCAAGGAACTAGCAAAATTGATTTCAAGATGAACCTTTTAATAGATACTATCTTTAAGACTTATTTTGCCCCCACCACTTGGTATGAAAAGGAGAATAATGCGAATAGCTTTAAGGATACAATGAAGCCAATGTCTAACTTCGTCTTGCACTTAACGAGAGTCAACCGCTAAATATATCCGAAGGTTTACAAAGTTGTTTGACCTTAAAACCTACCTTCTGCAGCAAGTAGACCATAAAGAATTTGGAAACTTTTGTAGTTGATGAGAACTTAAGTGTTAATGTTATTATAACACAACACTTTTCTTGCTTTCAATATTTCTGCTCTTGCTTTTGTGTTTGCTTTTTGATGTTTCAAAATAGTTGACAACAAGCCTTTTATATAGACTTGTAAGTGTCTCTTCTTCAATGACACAACCTTTTCATTAAGGCACCATTTTGTCTAAAAGGTATCTTTTCATTTTAGCAAACACATCTTTTAAATATAGTTATTGTTTCAATTATCATCTTATGAAAAGATAACTATTCATTTCATAAATTATAACTTTTGAGTTATAATTTGAAACAATAACACTTTTCATATCTAACTTTTGAGCTGTAATGTCTTTTCAATATGTTTCATACTTTTGGATATCATTTTCACCAAGAGACATAACCATTTACATGAAAACCTGTCTATAATCCAATAGATAAATTATATCACTTTATGTGACATAACTCTTAAGTTAAGATAGCTTTTCATTATGTGAAATAATCTTTGATTATGAAAATACACCAACAGTCCGTTCCTAGAATGGCTAGTGTGATTCGGCGACATGGTCCTTTTTTCCACCCATGTAAGGAGCAAGACTGGTTTAGCATACGTTGGCCAAAGCAAATAGCTTAGCCTTGAAGTCCAACCTTGGCCGTTTATAGAAGTACTAGATGTTATTGGGACATTCAAGAGGAAAGGACGATGTAGGGAAAGATTGCTTAAAATTTTCCTAAAAGGCAATAGAAAAAATTTTAAAAAATGTCATTACTTTAAAATAATTATTTTTAACTTATTATTAATACTATTATTTTTATTATTTTTATTTAAAATTACTATTTTTTTACAATTTAATATTTATACCATTATTTGTAATATTTTTACTTTAAATTATTTTTATCATAAATATTTTAAAAGAGATGCACGAATCTAGTAAAAACTTATTTTTTCAAAATCTCTTTTTAATTCTTTCTTTTTATTTTATCTTGTTCTCATTTTTCATTTCTCTGTCAAAGTAGTTTAATTTTCTATTTCTTTATCAAATCATCCTTTGAATTCCATTTTCAATTTCTCTAACAAACTGCCCCTTTTATTTCATTTTCCACCAAAATGTTCGTTTGAAAGTTAATGCTTGAGTTAAAGAAGGCTTTTAAGAAGGCGGTTGAGTTCAAAGTGTCGTAACATGTGAGTTCAAAAACCCATTCGCTCGACGTGAAATGGAGTCACTATCAATCTTTTTTTATTTAGATGGAATTAACCACCTATTTGAGTTTATTTCTTTCAAATGTTACCTTAGACTTAATGTAAGTTCATTTTAAAAAATAGTTTATATTTACAGAACAATTTTTTAGTTTGAGACTACAGTTATGCATAGGGAAGATAATAGCACATCGCGGCGCTCATTCAAGAAATGGTACCATTTAATCATGTATTATCTTTATGGTAGCCTTAATCCTTGATTCTTAATTTAATTGTTATTTATTTGTTATATTTCATTCCTTATTTTATTTGGTGTTGAAGATTTTTCTTAAAGCCCTCCAACACTCTGGTAAGGGTTTTCAAAATCCTCCTCACCTCAAGAGTATTCGAGAAGACATGCTTATGCCCTCCAAGAGGCTTTGTCATCGGGTTTATTAGGTATTTTTCAAGTGTGATTCTCGACATTGAATTTTGTACATTTTTATTCTTATTATTATTTTTTATTATTATTTGTCTATTATTTTATTTTTGTTTGCCGATGCTTAAATGAAATCTTTATATTGGAAAAATCTTCCTAGACTATTCTAACGCTCTAGTGAAGTTTAGGAATTTTTCATCACAGAAGGAATTTCTCAAGAAGAATCGTCTCTACAAGTCTCTTGAAAAGATCCCATTTTTAGGATTTTTCATTTATGAATCGAGTTTATATTATAGATGTACATGATGCAACCAAGGAATCATAATGTGATTTTTAAATTTGAAAATATGAAAGAAAAACCTTGTATTAGAAAAGTATTCCAAGATTATCCCAACACTCTAGTGATATCTAGGAGTTTTTCCTCACCTAGGGAAATTTTTGAGGAAAATCATCTCTACAAGACTCTCAGAAAAGTCCCTTCTTCGTCATTTATCTATCCATTTGCAAAAAAATTGAATCAAATGATACAAGTTTCAATTTAATAATGAATGAAAAGATTTTTATCAAAAGCATTTTCCAAATCCTCCCATCATTTTGGTGAAACCCGAAAGTACTTTCTCACTTAAAGAGCTCCTTAAGAAAACTTTTCTTTACAAGTTTCCTAAGGAAGTCCCATCATCAGGGTTTCCACTCATTTGCAAAAATATACATCCAAAATGAATGCAATTCATAAATGAATGTTGATGTTGCATAATGAGCAAAACATTTAGTAATTGTTATTTTTATGTATACATTTTATTTTCAAAAATTATTATTTTATTTACTTTAAATAATTTTATAGGTTTTTAACCTCTTTTAAATAGTCATATTGTTTATTTTAGAAATTTTTATTTACTTAAAATACAATTATTTGAATTAAGGAATATTGGAATATAAAATTAAGATTCTTCCATCATTCTAGTGGAGTTCTATAATCAAATTCCTCACCTAGGAAAAGTAACTCGAAATTGCGACTCTCCACATTAATTCCAAGTGAAAATTCCATCATTGGCTTGATTCAAGTAAGTACATTTAATTCATTAATTTCTTTATATTTTAAATAGTCATATTTTTATTTTAGAAATTTTTATTTACTTAAAATACAATTACCTAAATTAATGAATATTGAAATATAAAATTAAGATCCCCCATCATTC